GTGAAAATGCAAAATAACAAAGTGATAAATTTTGATGTTTTGCACTACATGACCTAAAATCTCAATTTCAAACATGTTTCTAAGATGGGAAATGACCTCTAATTACACTCTATGCCATGCCATGCATTTTATTTGTTTTATTTAATTATTTATTCACTTAAATATATTAAATAAATAAATTAAATTAAATTAATTGGAAAATGCAAGATGGAGGGAATTATTTCAAAATTGTGGGCTTCTAGAAGACCCACCTTCATGTCCATAACCGTGGCTTTTACTCTTGGGGACAAAGTTTTCATGATTTTCAAATTTTCAAGAAACACATCCCTTGGATCTTGCTCACCATTCATGCAATGTTTGACCAGTTTCTTTTCACAAATTGCTTCTATAAATACCATACATTATGGCCAACATAAGGGACAAGAAGATAGCAAGGGAAACCAGAAAAATTCACACTTGACAAAATAAACAAACGCTAGACCACTAATCAACAAGGTAATATAATCGAATACGATCACTCTCACACACTAACACCCCTTATGGTAAATATCTCTGGTTGCCTATATAAAAATGGTCATCCCTGAGCGTAGGGGATCCTAAGCACAAGTTCCCTTCGATAAAAAAACGCTATCACAAGTCCCTCTGAATAAAAGGACATAACCCCATGGGTTATAGCCTAGTCCCTCCAATAAAATGTGATAGCGCAGTCCCGACGATAAAAGTGTTAAGGGAACCCTGCACCATGCCTTGGGTGGCCATACGATGACCCTCTCCCGTCCCTAATACATCCTAGGGATTCGACTACCTACCCTTCAATGGTAGGGCTAGTCGCTTCCCATTTTGAATCGAACGAAAGAACGAAAGACCTTAGGAGTAGGTAGACCTCATGGATACTTGCTCACATTTCAAAACAAACTTTTCGCACCTCACACTGTTTTCTTAAACAATTTTCAAAAATGAGTTAACACTTTGTAAAACGTTCAAACATGAGCTATTACGAAGTTAAAACTTCCTCTTTCAAAAAGAATTTCTAAACACACCCTTTACACAAAAAGCGAACATTTTGATAACATTAAAGTGAGCTAGTATCTAAGAGCCCATGGAGAACCACAGATGCGAAGGGTGCCTAACACCTTCCCTTCGCATAATCTACCTCCCGAACCTGTTTTAAAAATAAGGTCTTTTTCTGTTTTTTTTTTCCGTTCCTTGTAGGATAAAATAAAAGTCAGTTGCGACTCTTGCTAACCGCGACATTGCTTTCCAAGAAAGCTTAAAATCAAAAGTCAGCTCTCCCACCGATTACACACTGTAAAACACGAAGCTTCATCATGTTTACGCCCTAATCATGGAATTTTATGATTTACACGTTAAAGCTTTCATGTAACACTCGGAACCTGTTCTAACGGACCTCCTGAGATCATACAAACGATCGAAGAGCATTAATAACGCATGGATCAAAGGAAACAGAAGTGAGAATCTTACCAAACCGGTGCACTTGTGTTGACACGTTCTAGGGTACTTTGATAGTGGGTGGAGCTATGGTTCAGCCTCTGAGAACTTCAGGATGAGAATAGAATGCACCAAACTCCTTGAACACGGCTGCAAACCCTAACTCGATAGTGCAGCTTTGAGAAAAAATTGGAGTGCAAAAAAGCTAGTTCTTCTGGCCTTGTATTCGTGTCCCAATGGTTATCCACTTGTAGAGGATTGAATTCCCTTCAAGATGAGAGTTGATGAGAATTTTTCTGATGAAATATGAAAAAGTTATGCCTTGGTCAAATTGCAGTTGACTTTTCAGCTGTCCAAAAATAGTAACTCTTGTATCTTGAGAATTTTTGAGATCTTCTTGGTGAATTATGGTCAACACTTGACCAAATGATGAATGGTATCCCAAAATGAGGATGTTGACAAGAAATCCCGACTTTAGGCGGAAAAATGAGCATTTTACCCCTGTAGTTGGCTGTGGATCATTTAGGGCTTTTGACTGGTCAAATTGGCATTATGAGTCTTGAAACTTGACCTGGAGATGCTTGAGAACATATAGAGGACCATAGGACTTGTTTGATCCATTGAAAGCTTCATTTCCCTTGAGAGAACCAAAACCCTAATTTCAATAGTCTCTAGTTTAGGAGGTGGTTGATCTGAGAAGTCTTGGGATATTCTTGAGTAGTGTTGAACCTTGTGAGCCTGAGGATGACTTGTCTTGGAGGTATATGACCATATAGAGTCCACCTGAAGTCTTGGAGAGACATCAAACCCTAATTTCTGATCCATTATTGAGGAGATGAAACCATGGATTGCTTCTTGATTTGTACCTGCTCCCTAAGATTCCTATAGTTATGAGGAATTCCTTAGATGAGAGCATGCCCAAGAGGTGAGGGAAAATTTTGGGGTATGACATTCTCCATAGTCGAGTATTTTCTCTTTTACACCGGTTTGATTCCAATCCCAGCTTTTGTCTTCATCAAACACTACATCTTTGCTTATCATGATCATTTTCATAACTGGATCACATAACCTCCATGCTTTCGATTCCTCACTGACTTCGAGAAAAACACATTTCTTGCTTTTGTCATCTAGTTTTCTCCTCTTCTGATCAGGTATGTGCGCATATGCTATGCACCCAAAGACACGAAAGTACTCCACCTCAGGTTTTGAACTTCTCCAAGCTTCTTCAGGTGTCATGGCTTCTACTATTGCTGTTGGAGATCGATTCTGGATGTGCACACTCCATCTTGTAGCTTCAGACCAAAACTCCTTTGGGACTTACCTCTCACTCAGCATAGACCGTATCACATTCATTATCGTTCTATTCTTCCTCTCTGCCACTCCGTTCTGTTGTGGCATAAATGCAATCGTCAATTGTCGGGTGATACCATGAGTTTTACAAAACTCTCTGAATTCATTAGATGTGAATTCCCTTCTGTGGTCTATCCTCAGGCAAGTGATGAAGGTTCTAATCTCCTTTTCAACACTTGCTTTGAAAGCCTTTAAGGTGATGAGTGCCTCCTATTTTTCATGGGGAAAATAAACCCAAGTTTTTCTAGTGAAATCATCAATGAAAGTTAAAATGTACCGCTTTCCGTTGTCTGAAATTGGTGTAATCGGACCACATATATCTGAGTGCACCGGCTGCAACTGTCTCGATGCACGCCAGAGGCTCCTTTTTGACATTGATACTCTGTGTTGTTTTCCAGTCAAACACACCGCACATATCTCCTTTGTGGACTTCAGCATCGGTAACCCAATAACCATATTCTTTTGTGCAAGTTATTTTAGAGCTTCTTGGTTTAAATGCCCAAAACGGTGATGCCATAAATTCGTCTCCTTCTCGATCACCTCTTCTGTCTTCAAGCACATCGTGTTTTTCTGCAATTTGGATGTTAGAAGAAAGAACATCTTGTTTCCACTCATATTACTCTCCATGATTGCACCTTTCTTAGGATGATATACTTTGCAGGTTTCATCACGAATCAAGCCAAGCCTCTCTCCTGCAATTGTCCAAGGCTTAGCAAATTGTTCTTGAGCTCCGGGACATAATGAACTTCAGGTATGACTTGGGTGGCTCCGTTAACTTGTACTTTCACGTTTCCTTTTCCCACCACCGACATTCTTGTGTCGTTTCCAAGTTTCACAGATCGATTGAAACCTTCTTCCAAATTGAAAAACCAATCTTTGCATCCGGTCATATGATTGCTGCACCCGGAATCAAGGAACCAAACTTCTTCTCTGTTTGCCCGATGTTTCCCAAGATACGACATCAAGAGCAGCTCTTCTTCTTCTTCTAGTTCAGCATAATTCGCTTTCTTTTCCCATTTAGGACACTCATTCTGATAGTGCCCTAACTGGTGAAATTTGTAGCACTTGATAATGGCACGATCGACTGCGTTTCTTCCTCTTCCTCTACCGCGTCCACCTCAGAACATTCCGCGACCTCTTCCTCTACTAGGTCTTTCATCTTGAGACACTTTTAGTGCCATCTCTTCTTGCACATATCCATTCAATCGCTGCTCATGGACAAGTAGGCTTCCATGTTATTCATCGATACTCATCGTGCTTAGATCATTCAATTCCTCAATCGAACACACCATATAGTTGAATATCGAGGTTAGTGATCTGAGAATTTTGCTCACGATCGTGCTCTGCTCCATTGATTCACCATTCACCATATCGGAATTCGGCTTTAGAGTTGAAAGAGTTGAGGAGTCAACTTGAGGATTTGCTTGAGAAGAGGTTTGTAAGACCCAGTGTGTCGCCGTGAGGAGCTCCAGTGTTGTTAGTCAAGAAGAAAGATGGAAGTATGAGACTTTGTATTGATTATCGTTAGTTGAATAAGGCGACAATTAAGAACAAGTATCCACTTCCAAGGATTGACGATCTGATGGATCAATTGGTAGGAGCTTGTGTATTTTCAAAGATTGATTTGAAATCAGGATATCACCATATTAGAGTAAAAGAAGATGATATTCAGAAGACCGCGTTCAGGACTCGGTATGGACATTACGAGTATTCAGTGATTCCTTTCGGTGTGACGAATACGCCGGGAGTATTCATGGAGTACATGAACCGTATTTTTCATACTTACTTGGATCGGTTTGAGGATTCTGTTGCAAGTGTTGAAGAAGAAGAAGTTGTATGCCAAACTATCTAAGTGTGAATTTTGGTTGCATGAAGTTAGTTTTCTTGGGCATATTATTTCTGGTAATGGTATTGTCGTGGATCCTTCTAAGGTTGATGCAGTGTTGCATTGGGAGACTCCGAAGTCGGTTACTGAGATTCGAAGTTTCTTGGGTTTAGCCGATTGCTATAGACGGTTTATTGAGGGATTTTCTAGATTGGTACTTCCGTTGACGAGGTTGACTTGTAAAGGTAAAGCGTTTGTGTGGGATGTTCGGTGTGAAGAGAGTTTCAATGAGTTGAAGAGTAGATTGACATCTGCTCCAATTTTGATTTTACCTAACCCAGGAGAATCTTTTGTTGTGTATTGCGATGCTTGTCTAATGGGTTTAGGTGGTGTGCTTATGCAAGATGGTTTGTGGGAATCAAACTCTATCATAAGTGATCTGAAGGAACACAATTTTAGAACAAGGGAAGAGCTAGAAATATGCAGAATCTTGAAAGGGAAACTACTTGCTGATATCCAGAATAGTTTTGATCGCATCACTGGGAAAGAAGTGGAAGCTGGAGAGATCACTGTCAAGCTAAACACTTTTGCTAAAAACTTATCAGATCTACAACTTCAGGAGGAAATGATGCTACAAAGGTCTAATGAAATGGGGAACATATTCCTTACTAGTCATAAACCCCTACTATGACCATTGTAAAGGTTATGTTCATAGTAGGGGTTATATATATAGTAGGGGTTTCTACTAGACATGTAACCCGTTCCAAGTGATGAAGCATTCAAACGTGTATACCCGGAGGGTCCCCATGATAAAAAGAGGAAGAAGGGTTTTTACAAAAGTGTCGCATGCGACTCTAACTTCTCTTCGAAGCAGCGGAAGGTTGCTATTTTAATGCTTATTCTTCGAGCTTTTGTTATGCCATCGTTCGATGGCAATTCAATCCCTCCGTCATTTGTTTCACTTTTGGAGGATGTAGATTCAGTTTCCAATTATGCATGTGGAGCTGCAATGCTTTCTTACCTCTTATCAGGAATAGAAAATTTTAGAAGTAAGAAGAAAAATCATTTGGACGGAAATTTCACGATCTTTTTGGTAAGTAATTTGAACTATTTATTTGACGTATTTTTTTAAAATACTTTTTTAAATGCACATTTTTGTTGTTCTGTAGACTTTTTTTTTGTTCGAATTCCACAACTCTGGGGTGCTATAGGAGTTGAGCCACTAGAGCAAGACGACTTCTCTTGCTCGATTTTTTGGTTCATCCATAGTATCAGTAAGATGTCCCATAACCATAAAAAGTCCTATGAATCCGTGGATAATGTTTTGGCCGAACTCACCGAAGAAGTAAGATCTTTAAGGATATCTTTGTGTTCTATCAACTCTTTGAAACTCATTTAGACTTTCTATTGTGTACTCATCCTTTTCAATTTTTTTATGACAGGACATCCAATTCTTACCATATGATGCTGAAAAGTTGACAACTGAGCTAAAGGCGAATGCTTACTTAGCAAGCAAGGTCTGCCCGATTTTTTGCAACAACCTTGTGATTCATCATAAGCCACATCTTGTTGCAAAACAATTCGGGTTGAATGCTGCGGACCTTGTTGGTTTATTTGATTTTGTGGAGTACCAAATAAAAATCAAGGCAAATGTGGGACAATTTGGCCATAATTATTTCAACAATTACAAAAAGGAGATCGGTCTTTGGGGACGTTGTGATTGTCTGTTTAACCATCAAATTCCGGATTTGAATTTGCGATCCAAATTGATTGGAATTCCGTCCGAAAGTGGTGATGATCCTGACATTTTTGCAAAAGGTTCAAGCAGAAGACCAACAAGTCCAAGTGAGCCTGGTTCAACCAGAAGCAGAAGACCAGAACCAACAATTTCTGGTGGACCAAGCCGACTTGGAGACAACAGGTAAAACAAATTTGCTCTCTTCTATTTATACCCAATAATCTATGTTTTCTTATTTGAACTTCGAATCATGTTTTCTTATTTGAACTTCGAATCATAAGCTCCGTTGTTTTCCTATTCATGTGTTGAGAGTATAGTCTTGCTCTTTCAAATTTTCAGGTTTTTCCTATGTTCAATATACATCTTTCAAACACTATATTTTTGGGAGGGTGCTCAAAGTGTGTACTGAACTTTTTGTTTGTTTCATTTTAATAATTATTATGGTTGGGGAAAAAATTTAGTAGCGAAATTGAGTCAACAATTGCAGCAATGTGAGGGCTTTCGGCTACTACATCTAGCAGTCAACCGGGCCTTACTACTTTGTTTCAACTTGCTGCTCATGAAACTTTTAAATCCAGTTTACAGGGTCATATTTTAAGAGTGGTGGCTACCATCAGTGGTTTGTCAAATCACTTCATGTATCTTAGTTTGTGTAAATATATTATCGTGTGCTTGGTTTGAATTCATAACGACACCGTGTCAAAGTGGCCGCTCCAGCCGCGTCAGTCGGAAATAATATTACCCTTAAATTTTTTAGAATACTAAAGTTATTTTATTGAATTTTATTGGCATTTGTGAATATATTTTATTGAACTTCATGACAGTAGGGATTGTGTTTTTTTTCCTTCCATTTTGGTTCATAGAACACATGCGTTCTAATGGTTTATAGAACAAATGCGTTCTAATGGTTTATAGAACAAATGCGTTCTTTCATATTAAAACTTAGAAAATCACTTGATAATGTATTTTTTCTTATATTGTTCATATAGCCAAGAGATCAGGCATCAGCTTGAAAATGGAAAAAGGTGAGAGACTAATAATTACTATTGATGGCACTAGTATCAAAACAATGTCTAGACTGCAGTATTACATGATAGATGTACCATTTTCAATTTTTTTTACTTACTAGAAGTATATAGTTGTAAGATGCCTACTACTGTGTTTCTTTTGGATACAACATAATTATCTAAAAATGCATGGCAAATGAGACAACTTAACATGAGTTACATTTGGGAATTAAATTTTATTTTGACTTCTTCTCGACTACGTTTCTGAGTTTTCTTTGTTTTCTTTTCTGCATTTGGAAAAGTATTGGATCCACAAGGCTCAGACATATTTTCCTATTAAACAAGTATATTACATATAGAACTTTTACCGATATAAAAAATTCACATACCAAAATCAAATTTTCAATAGAAACTTCGGATACCAAAACCAAATTTTCAAAACCAAGTTTTCAATAGAAAATTCGGATACCAAAACAAACGGAGCGGAATGGGTTCAAAGAAAAAATGGCGTTACCTGCACCTGCATGCAAAGTATGTTGTTTAAACAAGGTTATAAGTTTGTCTATATAGGATTAACTAGATAAATTCTATGTTTTAGGTTGAAAATCTCATGCTTTGATACATTATGCATAAACGCTTGAAAATGTCACGATTGGTCGATTGTAGCAATCACATGGGTACATATACCCTAGACACATGTCATCTCTATATCAACTCTAATATCAACCCTAATTCTATTTTTTAAAAATTAATTTCACATTAATAACTCATATTTTTATTTTTGATTGAAAAATATGAATAATAATTTTTATTCTTTATTGCACCAACTTTTAAATATTCGAGAAACGCTTCCGAACTCAATCCTTTCAGGTTTAGAATCACGAGTGTCGGAAACTCATCTAAAGTTTTGGACAAACCTCACACTTTCTTTTATAAAATGGGGAGAATGAAATAGTAATAATCAAATGCACAGGGAATTGGGATCGACGAAGACGATGAGTTACAACACGGAGTTCAGAATTCACGAAGACGATGCCTGAGACACAGTCATGGTAACACTAGATGAAAATGAAACCCTGAGAGTAACATACGAAAAATCCACAGATGAAGAAGATCATTTTTTCTCCTTCGTAATTTCAGCTTGCTTCTCAAACAACTCAAATCGTGATTGCATCAATGTACTTAAGAAGGGGTAAATCTCAACTATGTCAGCACTACCAAAACTACTAGCTCCCTTAAGAAACGTATTTTGTACAGTTTCCAAATCTAACTTTTCATATACAGTGGGAGAGATGCATGAGCAAGGAGAGTCAGTCCAGTCTCAACCACATGTTTGTGTTTCCTCTCTACAGCACCATTTTGGTGATGTGTATGAGGACAGGAAAACCTATGAACAATCCCATGTTTGGTGAGAATAGGAGTGAGTGGTTGAAACTCACCTCCTCCATCAGTTTGAACTATCTTGACACTACATTTAAACTGAGTTTGAATGTAAGCCAAGAAGTTGGTGAACACAGTTGATACCTCAGACTTCAAATGAAGTAGAAACACCCAAGTGAACTTGGTAAATCAACAACAATGTCATCGTCTTTATATCAATCATACTTGCAACATCAATATACACTAGGATTCACGCCATAAGGCCACTCATGGAACTGAACATTAGCATCCTCCATAAGTTTTGTCAAACGAAGGATCTCATGACAAAGATGAAAAGCATTACCAATCGTGATTTCTTACGTTCTTTTGTAGTCAGGGTTTTGACATGCTTCAAATTAAAATTATAATCAAGGTGAAGGTAGTTCAAATTTTTCCTGTGTATCAATAGATTTAACATGTTGTACCCCTGTCGACAAACTTGAAGACATGCTTCAACCCAATCAAGTTTTGTAGTCTGGAAAAACTTTGTCGCTTGAATTGATCTGAATAAGTTCTTCTTTTTTTGAGCCTTAGGAGGTCTATCCCAAATGAATAATTATAATATAATCTACGAAAACATATCAGAGTTCGCAAGTAGGATGTCACATCATTCAAAAATTTCAAAAAGTCTCAAATTTTAGGAAGTATCCTCAGTCATTCTAATTTTAGGAAGTATCCTCACTTCAAATCCACACATGCGTACCAAAAAAGTGATGTTCAATTTGATGTCAAAGTTCAAGTCTAAACATCAAAATTGAACACCACAAAGTATTAAACAAAACAAACATAAAAATAAAAAATGACTCTCAACACATTGCTTAGTGACTGTCTTCGCCACTCCTTTGGAGTGGCGTCCCTCAAACTACTGGGCCAGTAAATTTCCAAGCCATCGTTCAAGAATAGGCACAATACCACGAAGAAAGAACAACCAAACCCTCCACATTGGTGCCCAAAACCCACAACCTGGTCCTTTCCCAACAGGACCTGTGTTAAACGGGTAGTAAATCAAGTGCTTCAAATCCTTGCACATTCTAATATGTCTCACAAGCCTATATTTGTACCGATACATACCAGTCAATTGACCAACATGAGAGAAAGTATATTGAAGGCCACCCGCCAGTTGAAAAGCATCAACATTACCCAAACGAAACTAAACATTAGCATCCTCCACAAGTTTCGTCAAACGAAGGATCTCACGACAAAGATGAAAAG